GCGCCGCCGCTCGTGGGGCGAGCCGCTGCGGCTGCGGGAGCGGCGGCTGCTGCGGCGCTCCCTGTCGCGGTCGCGGTCGCGGGAGCGGCTGCGCGAGCGGTGCCGGCTGGACCGGTGGCGCTCGCCGTCGTCGTCGCGGCGGCGGTCGCGGTCGCGGTCCCGGTCGCGGTCCCGCTCCCGATCCCTGTCGCGCTCTTCAGGCCTACGAATGCATGTGGCAGATGGACGCTGATAGTATGAAGCCATGCAAGCGACATGTTCTCTGAACATACCAGATCACGGGACGGCGGAGCCTCCTAAGACCTATCAGTCCGACGAAGGTTATTCAGCACAGCTTGGTAACCCACCTGCCGCGGTCACGGTCATCCCTCCTGCGCTCCTCGCCGTACCCCTGCGCGCGAACAGTCGTCACGGGCAGGTGAGGTGCACAGCACCAGCTATATGGACGCAGGATGCACGCCTCATTCAGCGGCACGCACCGGCGGAGGGCCGTCCATCCTGAAATCTGCCTGCTTCAGATCACAACAGCAGTGGTGCCCTGTGCAGTAGAGTTCTTCTCTTGGGGCTGCAATGCTTCACAACGGGACACTGATTCCGGTATTTGTGAAGCTGCTTGAAGCGCATGGTAACCTAGCAACATGCCGCAATGCCCCATCACCTGCCCGTGCCGTGTTGCTGACACACTCAGCACCTGGCCAGCGCGGCCAGTCGCTTGCAGCTCGCTGTTTTGTGTTTCCGCAAGCCATTGATTAAGCTTTGTTGAACACCTCCGTTTTACACAGGAGGGCGATTGGCATCGTCGTTCCCACCGCTCGCCCCGCTGCTGCTGACGCCCCCATCGCCCCCCTCTGCCCGCCACCACGGCGTTCCGGCAACAAATTCCACCCACCCGGCGGGCCGCGCGTGCTGCGCGTGCTGCGGCCCGACGCCCGTGCGATGCTTGGGGTCAAACAGGGACAGCCTGGCCACCTGCAGCCCAATTGGCTTAAGGGGGTCTGCGTGAGCCGCGCGCCTCCAGAGTTCACCCACATCCTCCAGCGCCGAGAGCAGCTCCACCTCGCCCTCCTCTTCGTCGCCCTCGCTGTTCTCAAACAACTCCACCTCGCCCTCGCTGTCTTCTTCCGATTCCTCCTCCGCCTGCTGCTGCTGCTGCTGCTGCTGCTGCTGCGGCTGCTGCTGCTTCTGCGGCTGCGGCTGCTGCTGCTTCTGCGGCTGCGGCTGCTGCTGCGGCTGCTCCTGCGGCTGCTCCTGCGGCTGCTGCTGCTGGCCCTCCTTTTCCCGCTGCAGGTCCTGCGCGACCGCCTCGTACATCAAGTCCCCGAGCACTGGGCAGCCCTCCGCCGCCAGCTGGCCGCGGATTTGGTGGGTGTGCGCCGTCATCAGCCGGATGTCCGACTCAAACGCCGTCGGCCCGTACTCCGCCGCAGCGGCGCCGCTCAGAGTGATCTCGCGCACCTGGTGACACGTGAATGAAAGGGGGCGCCGCACATACAGGGTTGAGTGGCGGCTCGCGCGCTAGGCAGCCTTGCCCATGACCGCTTGGCGGCGCCCCCGCATGGCCCCATGAAAATGCCACAGCATACAAAGGCTCCCACATCCGCTCAAGCCTGGAGCGCTCCATTGGAGGTGACAGCTCGTCCTCGTGAAATGCGCCCGCCCGCGCGCAGCCCTCCCC